TGGAATCACACCGTATTTGTCCTTTTGCGGCTGGCTTTTCCCTTTTAGCATAGTTCAAGCTTCATCCATGTTGCAGTGCATGTCGGAACAGAGCCTAACTGTTTAGCCGGGTCCCTTGAACAATTTCCTTAACTGCTCAAGTTGTCTCATCTGTAAAATGGGAGCTGTAAGAGTATCAACCTCGTGGGTTCAAAGATCCTGTGTGTGGAAAGGACTGGAACAGCAGCCGGCTCATAGTGACTGCTCAATAAATGCAGTGGGCTCCTCTCTAGATCTCGCGATCTGCTGCCCTGCTCAGAGCGGTGCTCTTAGGCCCATCCCACAGCTAGCAACGGCTCGTGCTTGTGTCAGTGAATATCTGTGGCACGAATGTGCGAATGGAACTTATTCTTTCCCCAGCTCTGGCCTCAGAGGATCAGATGAGGAACAAACTCTCTAAGATACCACACAGAGCTCTCAAGGACCACAGTTAATTAAACTCCAACACTTTTCAACGTAGTACCTGAGCCCCAGTGGGAACAAGTTAACAATTGCATGTCAGGATAAAATAGGAAGAAAGGTCAGTTGGTCTACATCTTGGAGTCGAAGACCCAGTGCAGGGTTTAAGACCTTGCTTTGCTACTTGTTGGGAATACAGCCTTGGGTTACTAGTCTCCCTCTGATGAGCCTCAGTTTCCTCAGCTATCAATGGGGGTGACAATCCCTGCCTCCCGGGGCTGTGGTGAGAACTGCGTGAGGTCACGATGGGACTCGTTGAACACCGCGCACTCCCGCCCCACGGGGCTCACTGCCTCCTGCATCCCAGCCTTGCCTGGGAGGATCTCAGCTGCCGGGGGAGCAGCACACCATTTGCAGTTTGGATTCAATTTCCTCCTGACTCTTCTTTTCATTACAAACATGATAAAAGTGAAAGAGACAGATGGCAAGACTTGATTCACTTTTACCAAATGTTTTTATGGTGCGAATATAAAACTGAGAATGAGAGGAACGGGAAGGTGGCGGTGCCGGGGGAGCCGGGGAGGCAGTGAGCCCGGCGGGAGGTCTGGCCTCCAGGAGAAAGCAAATCGCCCACGGCGGGAGCAGTGTCCCCGGCCTGCCACTCTGCCGCTCTGGCCACCCCGAGGACGTCGCCGTCAGTGAGGAGAGACGGAGAGTGGACGGACGTCCTCCTTAACACGGCACCTTCCTGAAGGGACACGAGAAGTCAGGGCCACTGGTCACTCACTGGCTGATGGTGCTGGGTTAGACCAAGTGCTGCCACCTTTGCCAGCACGGTGAGGGCAGCGTTCTCCGGCTCAACTCAAGGCCGCGCAGAGTCTGCCTTGAGCCTGGGCTCCTCTGACACATTCTGTTAGGCCAGGCTGTCCCAGCCGAGGTGCTATCGACGTCTTGAGCTGAATGATTCTTTGTTATGGTCGCTGTCCTGCGCGTTTTCGCACGTTCAGCAGCATCCCTGGCCTCTACTCACTAGAGGGTGCAGTAGCGCCCTCCCCATCCCGGCTGTGAAAACCAGACCCCGCGAGGGGCTGGCAAAACTGCCCGCTGCTGAGAACCACTGGGCGAGGGGCTGCCCGGGTTTGCTCTTCCTGCGGCTGAACAAGCCAGGATGGAACAGACGGGGTTACCTGGGAAGCCTTTGCTGGGGTCTTTTGCTCAGTCTGTGCCCTTCTCCACCCGGAATCAAGGGGCTCCCCTGCCCTCCGGCTTCTGGTTGGCTCTGGCCACTGGGGAGAACAGGGAGGCGATCTGAGGACAGGGGAGAGTGAGGCCAGGGTGTCCATTCCCCCACTCCCTCCCTGCAGGCTGGAGGGGCTGGCTGGTCCCTCGCAGAAGCCCACCACTTCTGTCCAGTGGCCCCGGTTCTGGTAGCTTCCCTTAGGCCTAGGGGTGAGAGCAGCTCTTTCTCCCCCGCTGTTACTGGCCCCAGAGTGCTGCAGGCCTTGGTCAGTTCCCTACACCCTTCTTCACCTTCTGAATTCCTCCAGTGACTCCACTTGGATGTGCCCTCTGCTGGCGAAACGCCACCAGTCCAAATATATCATGTGACCTTTAGAAATATTTTCACAAATGCATACTTGTTTTTCTTGTGTTATTTCACTTGACTATTCATGTATTCAACACATTATTTTTCATGTCTTCCTATTCTGGGCCAGGCATGATGCCAGGTACAGGGGGGCACAGAAATGGATCAGACATTGTCCCTGCCCAAGGGGAGCTTAAAGTCTCACTAGGGACTCAGACACAAGGAGGGTGATAGTCTGAGACAAGGTGCTCAGGTCTCTAAGAGCCGTCTGACAAAGCCCTGGGGAGGCCCTGGGAGCATGTGGCCCAGGGAGCTGGCTTCCCAGGGAAGAAAGTGCTGGGTCTCACCCAGTGATGACGTGTCTTCAAGTGGCTCTATGAGGATGTCTCCAGATCACAGCGGTGTGTCCTAGCAGGGGCACAAAGTCTGCAGGCTCCTCTCCCCAAGCCCTGGGGACTCTGGGGAGATGGCAGCTCTGCACCCCCAAGCCAAGAGCCTCCCTGCCAGGGCTCCGGAGCACACTCACCCTGAGGCCCTCCACCCCTTGGCTGCTTGAAATCCCTGGCTGATGTGGAGAAAGAGAACATTCCGGCACAGAGAAGTTCCCTGCACTGCTGCCAAACAGGCTTCTCGCCGAGGTGCCTCCCTGCTGCCTGCCAGCCAGCCATATTTCAAAGGTCACAATTTCCTCCCAGCGGTTTTCTGCAGAGCCAAAGTCTCCAGGACCCTGAAATAAATTAAAATATTGATTGATTCTTAATATTCTCTCAAATCTCTCAAAATCTCCAGGTCTTGTATAAATCAATGTGCCAGTTACAGGGACTTATTCAATAATCTGCAAAGTATCCCGGTAATTACTTTTGGGTTCACCCTATGGCAGAGGGAGGCCACCTTTCCATCATTTTTAGGGCCCTGGGTACAATAACCGATCAGGGGACTCTCATCTCTTATTTTAATTACCAAGCCTCTTCCACACAGTGCCTGGGGGAGCATGAGGCTGCCCACGTGTCGGACGACTGTCGGGCAGACCTGGGTCGGGGTCTTGCACATTCCGCCAGCTCTTTGCTGCCTTGCAGTGCCCTGCCTCACCCTCTGCCTTTTACTCCCGCGTCTTTAGCTCGCTGGCAGTGACTGTTCAGAAATTCATTAAATAGCACCGCATTTCTCCAGATTAAATAGAGAGCTTGTCTTGCTGGGGAAAAGCTGTCTGCAAGCCTCGAGCACATGGGCTCTCTGAAGCCGCCCAAGGCAGCTGCCTGGATTTCAGGAGCGGAGGTGGGCTGGGGAGGAGGAGGAGGGAGACGGGACATGTGTCTCCCATAACAGCGTCAGTTGACACGGCAGCAAGTAACGGAATGACCGCAACTCATTAGGGGGGAATGTGGTTCTCGAAGAATGGTGCTAGAGGTGCTGCTTTGTGCAAAGTCCTTCCTCGTCTGACCCCGGCCACTGCTGAGCCTGCTGTGGCATCCTCTAACGTCCTCCTGTCCTGAAGGCCAGCCGGGTGGGTGGCCAGCCACCCCTGGAACACGTTTTGCTCTTTTCCCTGTTCTTTGCCTTTGAATATTTTCTTCTCTCTGTCTGGGATGCTTTCTCCTCTTTGCTACATATGACAAACTCCTGGTCATCCCTCAAAGCCCAACTCAAATGTGCACTCTTGTGGGGAACTGCCATACTGCCTGTGTTTTCCTCTGCAGCTGGGGACCCAGACAAGCCACTCAGGCACATCCGTGGGTGTCTGGCCTCTCTCATCTAACAGCGACATGTAGGCCTTGTGTTATCTGCCTTCCGCTGCCTCTCTAGGCTCCAGGCACACTGGCCACCTCAGTGCTCTTCCAAACGCCACCCAGGCATGGTCCTCCCTCAGGGTCCTTGCAGTGCCCCCTGCCTGCCATGCTGTCCCCACCACCCCTGTGTGCCTTGCTCCCTCACTCAGATAGCATCTGTCCCGAGAGTCCTCCCCTGACTGCATTCAAAAGAGCCCTCTCTCATCCTGTGGTCTTCTTGATTTTTCTTCATAGTGCTTAATACCACGTGACATGGTGAATGCATCTATTTATTTATAATCTGTGTTTCAAAGTAAATTGTAAACTCTACGAGGGCAAGGATGTTTGTCCATTTTTTCACTCCCATATTCCATGGAACCTAAACAATGTCTGGAACATAGTAAGACACTCAATATATATATATTTGTCTTATAAAGCGAATGAATGAATGATGAAGCTCTGTCTGTGGGGGTTGATTTGCTGTCGGGGTTATCCACAACCCATGGACAGATGTCCGAGCCCCTTGGAGGGAAGGGTGGCAGGCAGAGGCTGAAGGAACTGTTCTCGCAGAGGGGCCGTGGGGGCCACACATTCTAGCTCTCCAGGTGAGCGTGCTGAAAGTGTCAGGGCGTGGGGTCTTCTGCTCACTTCTGCCTGGCACGGGGCGAGCTTCAGGGCGTCCATGGGGTGCAGGGGCAAGAAGATCACAGACCGGGAGAGAGGGAGGGAAACGGAGGAGGCCACCTGGAGTGCGAAGACCTCTGCTGGTGGGAGAGCACCCCAGACCTCACCTGGCATCCCAGGTGCATTCACAGGGCACTTTCAGGTGGCTGCAGTCCTGTGTGAGCAGAGGAAGTCATGAGACAGTGAGGTCTGAGGTGTGACTGTCACTGGGCGCCCATTCCTGCCCATGGGCTAGAGGAGAGGGGTTCGCTGTTGTACTGGCAGAGGTGCCCTGGGTTACAGACAGATTTCAGGCTGAGACAGACGTGTACCTGTGCAAAGGGGCTGAGGGGCTCCAGGCCAACATCATGGAAAACACTCTCCAGCCAACCTCCTCAGGCCTTCTGGGAATCAGGCAAATATTTGAGCCTATTTTCCTCACACTACTGAGCGGGGAATGAGAGAACTTTTTGGTAGGTTTTTGCATAGGCCGAAGCAGGTGGGGCTTGTGACTCTTCACTGCGCGATGGCCACGCACGCGAGCACTTATGTGATTGTGGTGGCAGACGGGAGCCGCAGGACTGAGGCCGGTACTTCAGCCATTGGTGCCTTTCAAGTTTGGAACCATCTGTCCTCTCTTTCTTCTGCCAACGGCAGCCAACTCTGTGGTTCTTTTTCATCCCACAGCTCCAAATTCCCAAGAGATGTGTGCAGAGAGCGGTCACACCCTCATCCCTCACCCACAGGTAGAAACTTGGGGTTTGAGACAAAATGTCTGATTTTTTAAATCTTTTTTTACTTGAGAGCATTTTGGGGCTCAGCTAGCATATGGGCCACATGGGCTGCAGCCAGAGCAGGGAGTTTGTCATCGAGACAGTAGGAGATGTTAGAATGAGATGGAGCTGAGAGCCAAGCAGAAGGAGGAAGGGCTTAGGTGACTAATCTGAAAAGAACAGGAGAAATGTCAAAACTGGGAGCAGATGCAGAAATCTGAGAACCAGGGAGACGAGAGCAGGCATGGCTGGCACAGAGGAAACGAGGAGGCTCTAGCACAATCTCCTGGAACAGGTACTGTGTTTGGTGCTGACTTTTATGGGCTTGCAAAAGTGTGCTAAAGGGGTGGGCAGCCTGAGGTTAAGGTACTGGGTGGGATGGATGGTTCACTGGGATGCTTGACTTCTATGGGAATCAACTGCTGCTTCTTTTTCAGTCTTGCCTTTACATAGTCATGTTAGGACAATCTTAGTTCTTGCATTCTCTACAGTGATGACAAATAAGAATTATTAGAAATCTTATTTTCTGACAAGAATTCAGATTTGAATTTATCCATTTTTATTCATTTTTCACTTGTTTTTACTATGGCAACCATAAGCCTCTTATTCTATACCTCCTTCGGGGAAACATCATCAAGAACTCTCCTTTCACTCACTTTGGGGGATGTTGCAGCCCTGAGCAGGGATTTAAGAAAGTGGATTTCCAGCCCCTGCCCCATCACTTTCTGGCTGTGTGACCTGGAGTATGTTACTTACCCTCTCTGGGCAGTTTAGTTAAATCATCTTTAAGGACCTCCAGCTCTGCTATTCTGAGATTCTCTAAGCCTGTCTTCTTTATTAATCCATCTCTAAACCACAGGGATCCCCATCTAGAAATGTCAGTCCGATGCTCACTGGTGAGCAGGTGTCTGCCCACAGACCCGGCTCCCCAGATGCTACAGGCAATTTGGGAACTATATTTTTAAAATCACCACAGATGGGAAGACTAAATTGAAATGAGACTTGTTTGAAAAATGCTGCTTTTAGCATTTTAGCCACATCCCTTCATCCCTCATTGCATTCGGCTTTTGGATGGCCGCCCCAAATAGCCCATGATCTTTCTGATTGCTCAACAAAGTCTCTTGGAAAAGAGCTTGCGATCATTGCTGGCTCCACGGCCCCTCCTCCTCGCCATCCCACAATTCTCATTCTAGTCCGTTTCAGGGCTATTGAAATCCCATATGATCAATGTTACGGCCTCTTTAACAGCCTCTGTTATCTGCATAAACATGGGCAGATTTGCTTTTTCATCATGCCCTGGAGGTCTATAACAGCTTCTATTATCTTCCCTACTGTCTTAGTCCATTTTGTGCTGCTGTAACGGAATACCAGAGACTAGGTAATTTATAAAGAACAGAGATTTATTTCTTATAGAGGCTGGGAAGTCCAAGGTCAAGAGGCCCACATATGGCGAGGGCCTTCTTGCTGTGTCATCCTATGTCAGAAGGTGGATGTTTGTGTGGGAGGGAGAGGAACAGGGAGAGGGAGAGAGTCCAACTCGTCCTTTTATTAGGAACCCCACTCCTGCAACAACTAACCCGCACCTGTGATAATGGCATTAACCCATCCACGAAGGCAGAGCCTGCACGACCCAATCAGTCACATCTTAAAGGTCCTACTTCTCAACCCTGTTGTATTGGGGATTAAGTTTCTAACACATGAACTTTTTTTAAAATTTCAAAATATTAAGGGGGTACAAGTGTTTTTGTTACATGAGTGAATTGTATAATGCTGAAGTCAGAGTTTTTTGTGTGCCTGTCACCAGAGTAGTGTTCATTGTGTAGTTCTTGCTTTCTCTAAGGTAATGAGAAATAATGATTATTAGAAAATTTATTTTCTGATAAGAATTCAGATCTGAATTTATCCATCTTTATTCATTTTTCACTTGTTTCTTTTACATGTCCCCTCTCTAAAGGCATCATTAGCCACAACCTCCAAGTCATTTTTCACTTTATGCCACCCCGCCCTCAACCAGAGCCAAACTCTAGAGCTACTGAGTCTTTCAATCTTTGAGCAAGAGATTTATCTTAATAGAGGCTCTTAATATAGTAATTTCTATTTTTCACATGAAGATTCCATTTTTCCTCCTGAGTCCCTCAAGGTTTCCATTTTTTTAAACAGAGAAAGGGGAGCGTTTTCCTCCACCCATCCCCAGGAAAATGCAATCGCCACATACTGTCTTAAACATGTGGATTACTATAGGATATTTGAACTCTTCCTATATCTTGTATTCAGGGAACTTCTAACTCTAGTACTGTTAAAGAGTTGTGTCATCTCACCCGACTCAGATGGCAGGGTGGCTCTGCCATCCATGCTGAAGCTGAGATGCACCTGCTTAGGGTTTGCAGACTTCTTCCAGGATCCACGCCGGGCCACAGCAGCAGTGAGGCTGACAATGAAAGAGCGACAAGACGCCGAGATGGGCAAGCTGATAGCAAAGTGGGACCAGCTCTGAAGAGAAACAGAGAACTGTGGGGTGAAGCCAGACATAGGAGGCAAGTAAGCAATTAGACTTGGGGCTCAGCAAGGAATTCGGAGCTATCTGTGTCATAGTCCTAAATCCAAGCCAGTGGTCAGAGTTTAAAAGAGGTCAGAGGTAGTAGTAAAACCAGCAGCTGGAATAATCCTGGAGATTTAATAAAGCACTGAGAGGTAGGTTCTAGAATCAAATGGGACTCAGAGAGGCATAGTAGTTTTCTCAAGATCACACAGCCAGGAAATGGCAGAGGTGGGAATTGAGGATAGGTCTATCTGACTCTAAATATCATGCCCTGTACCACGCTGCTGCCCAGAGTCCTAGCTCTGGGGATGCTGCCCAGAGTCCTAGCTCTGGGGATGGCCTCCTCAGCCTCCACCATGCGAGCCTTACCTCTTTTTGACCTACTTGACTGGTTCCAGGCTGGCGGATACCCAGAGCAAGGAAGTGGCAAGGACTGAAGGACAATGGAGAGGAGCTTCATAGGAAACCATTCTCACCCCTTCAGAGGTCTCCTCAGCTCAGGATGGGGCCTTAGTCAGTCCTCAGAGGTGCGGGAAGAGCCCAGAACCTTAGCACGGTGGAGCCTGGCTGAGCCTGGTTGGGGCCCTGAACAACTTCCTTCTGGTTGACACCCAAGGCCACAGATGCCCGACTATGATGACTACAGGCAAGACCCAGTGAGGTAAGTTGGTCTTGCAGTCTGTCCGCTGCCTTATTGCTCTGGGGTGGGCTCACCCCTCTTTCTCCCTGGGCCTCTCACGCCTGGACTCTGCCGGCTAGAGGGCTGGCTGTAGTTACAGCACAGTGCCTGTAGGGGGCGCGTGGTGCACTGCCTGGGTTCCCCTGCACCAACCCCTCCTGAGGCACTGGGAGGCACTCCGCAGGCACTGCCCTCAGATGCAGTTCCTTCGCCCAAGTCACGCCCTCTTCCCGGGGCTGCACACCCAAGGTCGAGTCAATGCAGGAAATAAAGGTCCTGGGTCCTCGCCCCTCTTCAGGACATCTCTGCGGGGCCATCCCAGGTCTTGAGCTTCCCCCCAGGATTGTGGAGGCCCTCGCTGCTGCTGCTGCCTGCCCTTTAACTCCTCCCTCTGACTAATCCTGCACCCTCACTACTCCCAAGGTGTGGATCCCGAGAACAGTTCCTGATGAACACCCTGCACACCAATTCCATTTTTAGAGCTGCTTCCAGAAGAATCTGACCTGCAACAGCTCTGTATGAAAGCATGGCATTGCTAATAAACTGTCTAATGAAGGAAAATAAGCTATCTAACAGGGAAAAAAAAAAGAAGATCACAGCCCTTTGTTTGATTAACCACCTGGGGCTTAACTCATTGTCTTTAAGATTAACCATCCATGGGCTCTCTAAGAGTTTGTTTTCATAGCACTTGAGAAGGACTGAGCAGATAGGAGGAGTGGGGCCTCCCAGTTTCTGCCATAACCACATTTCAAGGACCCTGATGAAGCCAGCCTCACAGAGAAGAGAGGGAGAAAAAAAGGAAAAAGAGAAACAGCTGCTTCACAGCTGTCTTCTGCTATCAGCTTGCAACAGTAACTTTTTTTTACCCTTCACCCCCAATAAATACCCCAACCCCTTACCCTCAGAGCTGGCACTCCTTATTTCTTTCACTGTCATATCGAGACCTTTCCTCTGTCTTGGGGGAAGTAAAATAAGCTTTTTACTTCTTTCTATCCTAATTCTTGTGTTGAGAATCCTTTCTCATCATGCACTACAAATTCCTACCCTAACACTGTGTGCTGTCTCAAGTGACCAACTTGGGTTCTGTCCTACAGACAAGTCCTGTCCTGAGGCCCAGCTCAGCCCAGCCCCCTCACACCACAGCCCCCAGCTCTCTTCCTCCTGGCTGGGTCCAGGCCCTTGACCCTGGGAGGGGGAATCGGACAAATCCAACCCTTCATTGTCCAGGTGTGAAAACAGGCCCAGCGAGGGAAGGCACCGAGCAAGTCCATGGCCTGCACTTCTCCTCTTCTGTGTCCTACTACGGTGCATGGCTCTTTAGGCCAACAGATTTAACCCAACCCGGCAACCTTTCTTGGGCCCCTGCCCTGCCCCTGGTGTTGTTATCTCAGTGTTCCCAGCCTTTCTGTCGCCATAGATATCTTCTGTGTTACTTCCCTGTTTGGACGCTGTACTTTAGAAAATCCTATCTATCATATACTCTTCACTTACAGATAGGAATAAATTTGTTTTCACAATTTTATTCATCAAAACCATATATAACTGCCAATCAGAGCTTCTGATCCATAAGAGATAATCATAGTTGGTATAAATATTGAATTGATATAAATTGAAGCTTGTAGCTTCATTTAGTTTGGTAGTGGTGGTGGGTGGTTATTGAGAAAAACATGTGCAGTTTCCATGAAGAACTTCAAATTTTTGAAAATAGCACACAGACATCTGTGACTGTTCCAACTGCAGAGGTAAAACAGGGCCCTGAACTCCCACTCTGCAGCATGAAGCCCCTGAGCCCCTGCTAGAAGCTGCCTAAAGGTACCAGTTCTTCCAATGAGACACTGAAGCCACCATCCCTGGCTCTAGGTGCCATGGCAGCCTTGAGGGCAGAGCCAGATGCTTCTCCTGCAAGGGGAGACCGTGCAGGGCTCTCTGCCCCACGGCCCGTGGTCATTGCTTAGCTTCCTGGCGTTAGTGTGAGCCTCCCTTCTTTCGATTCCTGAAGCAAATGCATGTGGGGAGGTGGGCATTACTTAAACTGTGATTAGTGGTTTACTCCTTACTTACCAGCTAAGCCCTCTGGAGAGTGTCATGACAGCTTCTTAAATCCAGATGATTTGGGGTCCCAGCAAAGTCTCTTGGAGTTGCTATAAGGGCTTGGGAATGGTTCCCAGTTTCTCCAGGTCCTGCGTTGGTAGGCATGAGGTGTCCAGGCCTTGGGGTGGGTGCCTAGGGCACCTCGGAGGAGCACACTATCCCCAGCCCAGAAGTGCTGACACCACACATCACGGAGCCACCTTCAGCTGGATGGTAAGGGCCTGGGTGAGAAGTGGAGACCTGGGCTTTCCCCAGTATGTGCTGGCCGCGCAGCACCAGCTCCGGGTCTTATGATAGCCTAACGTTTACCCTCCAAGAGACTTTTGGCAGGAGTATCACCAAACAAGGGGCAGAAAGGTGATGTACCCAGAGATGGGGGAGACAGAGGCACCCCGGGAACCCAGCTCTGGCTCAGCTGCAGTCTGCTGTGCCGAGGCTGCTTCCTGCCCGAGCTTCTGCGGGCTCCCTACTGCTCTCCCCGGGCTCTTCACCACCCACCTCGGGCATCACCAGGAGGTCAGACCTTGCAGGAGGAGGACCCTGTGCCGTGGAGCTGCTCTGTCATTCTCCAGGGAGAAATCAAATGAAATTGGCCAGGATGCTGCCCCAGGGACCCTGTGTGGGGGCTGCACATGCCTAGACCAGAAACCAGAGTATCAGTTATTTTTTTCTGACCAAAAAAGGTAGGCTATGGCACATGCACTCTGCCTTCTGGGATAAATATATTCATGATATACATATAAGTTTTTTAGAAGTATGCATTTCAGTTACATAATCTTTATTAAAGGAATCTTATGAGGTGTATGATCTTTTCAAATAAAATTTTAATTAAAATACTTTAAAGGTTTTTAATTTAATGATAGGGATTGGGAAACTTGCATGAAGATTCAGATTTAAAAAGTTGAAGGAACTGTTTTGAGATAAGTCATTGAGGGCACATAAAAAGATAACTAATGAGTAAAAAAAAATCCGTGCCTTTTAACAAATGCCACAGAAAAGCACCAATTTATTTTTAGATAATCTGGTCTGAGATGCCTAGCTGTTTTTTTTTTTTTTTCAAAAAGGTAGCATAGTATAAGAGGAAACCATAAATAACTAAAATAATAATAATAAGAAAAAAACCCTATAGGAAAATGGCTGACTCAAACTGAATCATCAGAGTCTTTAGACTGAGCTTATCACAGGCATTTTTCCAGCAATTTTAAATGAGGTCAGGCTCCAGTGGGTCTGGAGACCTGGTTTTAGGGATATATCAACACCTATCAAGCTGTGAATCCTGAGCCTTTACACCTCTAATTGTCTGGGTTTCTTCCAGTCCCAAAGGCAATAATTCAAACATCTCTTTGACTTCTTAAGCCATCCTGATTTCCAGAAGCTCAAGCGCTGCATCCCTTTTCATGCCTAGAACCTGAAACTGCCTTTAACAGATTTTTTTTCTTTTCTTTAAACTCCTAAAGATACTGCTCCTGGGCAAGCAGCGAGCCTGCACCCTCCGCCAAGCCCGTGTGCAGGGGAGGGCACGGCGGCAGATGCCACAGGAGTGATGGCCTGTGACCCGTGGAGATGACTGCCCTTAGCTGTGGGATTAGGGGACGGTGGGGCGCCATCAAAGGACCCAAAGAAAGGAGCCCTCAGTAGCTTAAACCCACAGTGTAAGCTCACTGTCATTGTGCCATCAAAGTTGGTAGAAGGAGGTCAGTAAGGGCCTTTATTTTCTCTTAAAACCTCAAAATTGTTTCCTAAACTTCTCCATGTAAAACTCTGCTGGCTGCAGGAGGTGTCCTCAGGTGACTCTCATAGACAGCCCGTTCTTTCCTTATAACTTTCTGTGCTTTTTCTGGGTAGAGTTTGCTGACTGGTAGTCACCTGACTGCCCTGGCCAAGCTGAGGACCAGGCCCTTTGCGTGGGACAAGAGGGAAGCCACCCCCCACTACGGTGTATCGGTGCTCATTAGCGTGACTCTGTTCAGTAAGAATACGCTACATTGGATAGCAACGAACCCAGTCCATCCAACCCTACTTACAGAAGGAGTAAATGCAAGGTATGTGCAATGGAGTGGGGTTTGCTCAAGTTTTAGTTGCACTCTGAATGAATATGGCCTACAGTTCTGGCCCTTATGAGGAGCCCTGGACCCCAGCGTGCATGTCCAAATTAGGATGATGACATCCCACAGTTCCAGGCTGTAACACTTTCCTATTGCTGCTAGGACAAATGACTGCAACCTTAGTAGCTTAAGACAACACAGATTTATCTTATATACTGTTCTGTAGGTCAGGAGCCTAAAATTGAGGTGTCTGTGGGCTGCTTTCTTTCTGGAGGCTTCGGAGAAGAATCTGTTCCCCCACCTTTTTCAGCTTTGAGAGGCCTGTGACCCTTTCCTCACATCACTCCAACTTCTTGCTCCGTCATCCCATGCTTGTTTCTGTGGTCACATTTCCTACTAGCCTTTGACCCTGTCTTCCTCTTGTGGGTCCTGGCACTGGGTTCATCTGGATAATACAGGATACTCTCCCCATTTCAAAATCCTAATCGCATCTGCAAAGTCCCTTTTGCCATATAAAGTAACATATTCACAGGTTCTGGGGATTAGGATGTGGATACCTTTGTGGAAGGGCATCATTCTGCCTGATCATATATACTGTGCTGTGAATTCTTGCAACAAGATTGTGTTTCTAATGGTAATCATCTGCCCAAGTCTATATGTCTGTGCTTTGATATCTGCTCTGCCCACATCGTTTGGAAGGGATGGTCCAAGTATCATATGAACAGACCCTCCTTGGCAATAGTTGGTGAATAGTTAATGTACTTTCTTGTTAATGACCTACTAAGTAATGACGCATTGACTTACCATTTGCCAGCCAGTGACTTAATGATTTGCCAGTGGCCATTTGTGTTCTAAAGAATTTGGGTGTAGTGACGCAGGTACTGTAGCCAGTTGATTGTAGGCTTTTTAGACTAGAAGTGATCTAGAGCTTTGGTTTCCAATCCCCGGGCTGCAGACCCATACCTGTCCATGGCCTGGTTCGCACAGCAGGAGGTGAGCAACGGGTGAGCGAGCAAAGCATCATCTGTATTTACATCTGCTTGCCATCGCTCACATCACTGAGCTCCGCCTCCTGTCGGATCAGCAGTGCATTACATTCTCATAGGAGCGTGAACCCTACTGCAAACTGCGCATGCGAGGGATCTAGGCTGCATGCTCCTTATGAGAATCTAAGGCCTGCTGATCTGAGGTGGAGCTGAGGCGGTGATGCTAGAGCTGGGGAGCTGCTTCAAATAAAGATTATCATTAGCAGAGAGATTTGACTGTACAGGGACCATAATAAATCAATTGTTTGCAGACTCATCAAAACTCTATCAGTGAGTGGCAAGTGACAATTAAGCTGCATCTGGTGGCAGGATTTATAGTGGCAAGTGAGTTGAGATACTTCAATTGTACAGCTGCATCTGGTGGCAGGATTTAAGTCAGAACTTGACACTTGTTTTAGGCCGTGTGTGGCCCACCCATTATTTTATTTGCCACTTCCATCTGCACCTCTTTCCTGCACTGTGCATTTGTCTCAGTCACAGTTTTGGTAAGCCCACAAGGTAACCTTAGCAAAAATGAGCGAAACAAAAACGTCGCTGGAGAGCTTCTTTGAAAAGGGGGAAATACCCCATGATGAGACAGCAGAAGACTCTACGACTGCCAACAAAATGAAAGTAGCATTTTAAAGAAAATGCCAAGAGTCCTATTTAAATTACAGGTTCATTGCAACGGGTGATTCACATTCTCCAAGCCCGCTTTGTATAATATATGGTGATTGGCAGTC